GCAGCCCCCCCCCCCCCCCGGAATGCTAGTCGATTTTCATCTCATTTGGATCTCAAGCCTGAATAACTTTTATGCAAAAATGTATCATAAAAAAGGCACGCGGAATTTGCGCAATGGACCTAAGCACAGAGCCTAGAATGATAGATCGAGCATAATCGTAGGGAAAATCTGTAAATATATTTTTAAATATTTCAAACTAAAATAAAATTTACTGATATTAAATTCATAGTTTTTAATTTCGATAACAGCTTCAAATCAATTGTTTGATTCAGTATATAAAAGAAACAAATTAAGCTTGAAAAATTAGTTAATTATTTGAAAAAGTGGTTTTCCATTTTAAAATGATAAACATTTTTTAAAGGAAGTTCAAAGGCCAAAATTTTTTTCATAGAAATCTCCCTTTACAGACACACTCAGTACTAACCCTTGGAAGGCCTTATCGTTGCACAAATATGTAAGGGTCCAACTACAAAATAAACCCTAATATACACATTTTAAAAGAATTCGACACATCGGTCATCCTCGTATTTTGCCTCGCTTTCTTGAGAAATGGACATATTGATCGTAGATTACAGTCTATCTATTGGTCTTGGACACTAAAATGTTTGTACCGTTGGAACTCATGGATTGATCCGAAAGCCCTCGAAATACCAATTCCAAAAAAACAGACCCAACGCTTTTAAAAAAAAAATTTGATACATCGATTAACCGCGTATTTTTTGTCAATTTTTAGGAGATCAACGCATTCATCGTAGATTACAGGCTATCATTAGGTTCATGGACTCTTGCATTTTTGTATTAGAGGACCTTAGATAACAGTTTTCTTAGATAGTTGTCTAAGACTTCTCTTAGTATTGATCCAAAAACACAGACATTAACCTCTGCAAATAAATTCGATAAATCGATTACCTATCCCCATAATTTGGCGTCGCTGCTCAGGAGATCGACGCATCTATGATAGATAACAGGCCAGGGTATCTATGGGTCCTATAGACTCTTGAGTTTTTATATGTGGAAAACTTTGGTGTGGGTTTGAGAGCCTTTGAATCACCAATTTTAAAACAACACTAAATGCTTTTGAAAAAAATTTCATACTTCGATTTATCCTCGTATTTTCCCGTCATTTCTTAGGAAATCGACGCATCTAGCGCGTATTACAAGCTAATCTATTGGTCATGGAAGCTTGAACTTTCGTATAAAAGGACCAGAGGTAATAGTGTACGAGCCCTCAAAGCACCTATCCAAAAAAGAAAAAAAAATATCTGACGCCTAAAAAAAAATTCGATGCATTGATAATTTCCGTGATATTATGTAACTTTTTGGGAAATCGACGCACCGATCGTAGATTATAGGCTACCTATCCATTAATCTGGGACACATGAGCTTTTGTATTGTAGGTCCTTAGGTAATGGAGTGAGATTTCTTAAAGCACTGATAAAAAAAAACATTACCAACGCCTTTAAAAATAAATTTGATTCTTTGATTATTCCCGTATTTTGCAGCTAATTTTTAGGAAAGTGACACATTCGTCCCAGCAGGAGGCTATCAATTGATTCTAGACTCATAAATCTTAGTAGAAAGGACCTTAGATGAGGGTCTGAGACTTCTTACAGCACCGAGCCGGAAAATAATGATCCGATGCCTTAAAGAAAAATTCGTTCCATCGGTTAACTTCGTATTTTGTCATCAGGAAATCGCCGCATCCGCCGTAGGTTACAAGCTAGATATAATTGGTAAAGGACTCTTGAATTTTTTCAATTGTATCGGCGCTATAAGGGCTCTCAAAGGATCAGCTACATTTCTTTCATCAGAAAGTTAAAAAAACTAGGACCAATAGATAGCTCTAATCTAAGAGAGACACGTCGATGTCTGAAAAAATAACGGCAAAAGATTGAGATACTTATGGGTGTATCGAATTCTTTAAATGCGGTGGGGTGGCTATGTTTTTTTTGGATGTGTACGTTGAGATCTTGCAACATCGCCTTAGGTCCCTCTAGAGAAAATTCAAAAGTTGAGGGCCAGTGGATAGCTTTTTATCAATGGACGCGGCAATTTCCTACGCAATGACCGGAAAATACAGGGATAATCGATGTTTCGAAATTGCTTTAAAGGCGTAATTTTTTTGATCAGTGCTTTGAGGGAATTTAGAACATGTTTTAACGTCCCTCGATGCAAATGGTACACGGTCCAGGACGAAGAGATATTCTGTAATCTCCGATGAATGCGGCAAAATCCTGAGAAATAATGGCAAAATACGGGAATTCTCGATTTATCGGATTTTTTTTTTGAAAGGTATTGAATCTATTTTTTGGATCGAAGCTTTAGAAGTCCTCAGAGCATAACCCATGGTTCTTCCAAGCAAAAAGTCAAAGGTGCGGAGCCAAGATATATCCTGTCATCAACGACAGATGAGACGAATTCCCAAGAAATGAGTGCAAAATAGGGAGATAATCGATGTATCGAATTTGTATTGAAGATTTTTTTTAATTCTTCTTTTGGATTTGTATTTTGAGAGCTCTTAGAGCATGACATAAAGTCACTCGCAACAAATTCACAAGGGTTTTAATACACTTTACTTTCGCAAACTAATGAAATAGTATAGATACATACCTTCTGCAGAGGTCAATGCGAAAGACTTTGATTTGAAGTATCTTATCAAAACACGAGCAAAGATGATTCAGTCAACTTCTGACGCAGAATCAAAGAGACTTGCTAATAATCAAATTAAAGGTAATGCTTGAAGTCAAGTATCTTTGATTTTGTGACACTCAGTTGATTTTTATCAGTATAACACTATTTCTCACTAAAAAGATTTCACTTAACAGAGAGGCGCCTTCGGCTAAAAGTACAATCCTGATTCCTGCTGCACACTACATACACACTTCCTTTGGCTTTCTCAACAGCAGTTGCTGCTGAGTAAAACGGTTAGAAAAAACACTTCACATTATTACCAGTTTATGTACCCGAAGACTGACGAAGATTGAAATGAAAATGGGAAACTTTTCACACAAAACTCTTCAAAACTGCAGGGCGACCACGAGGATACGAGGATCTAGAAACTTCTATAAGCACTACTGAATGATAAGCCTAAATAGGTGGTGCATGGAAATATAAACAGGAGGACCCAATCGTCGGTTTAGTTCACTACACCCTCTGCCAGGGAGCGCTGATGTCAGCGGTAACCGGAGTTGGGGGTCCTTATTTATTCTCTTGGTCCATGCTATGGCTTTGAAACTTTTTGAGGTAACACGCTTTTTTAGGTACTTTATGAGAAAATAACACAATTTACCTCACCACTTTAAAGATGCCCCCTTCCTCCCCTCAAAGTGGCCACATCGCGCGATTTCGCCAATTTTTCCTAACATTCTGCCCAGACGGTATGCCTTTCTTCTACCATTAAAATGTCGCTACGGCTTTGAAACTTTTTGGTGTAACACACTTTTTAGAGTACTTTACAAGAAAAATATCACAACCTACCCCACCACTTCACGGGAAACCAGCAATGTTCCTTATAAAATGTAAACATTGCTGGTTTCCCATATCGATATTCGTCAGTATTGAATAACAAAAGAATTATTGTTCCTTGTAAAATCGGGAAAAATCGATACAGCGCATCGATGCATGGTTTGGTGTAACACACTTTTTAGAGTACTTTACAAGAAAAATATCACAACTTACCCCACCACTTCAAAAATGCCCCCTTCCCCCCTCAAAGTGGCCACATCCTGCGATTTCGCTGATTTTTCCCAACATTCTCCCCGCACGGTTTGCCTGAACGAATTTAAATTTTTTGACAATTCAAAAGCAATGACACTTCAGATTCATAGAGTAGAGGGTCTACTGAGTTATTTAGGCCAAGAAGAAAAACAATCTGTCAAGCTCCTGGAAAATAAAGTCGACTTAGAGGTATTTTATGGCTAAAAGGGGCAATTTACCGATGATAAGTTCCGTTATATTACTGAAAATAAATTTCCTCGATAGTTACAATGCCTAGGTTTTTTGAATACGGTTTTTTTTAAGTACTCAAACACTAAAACCACAGATTTTAGCAACATGGTAAATTTTGGAGACCTGGAATTACCCATTGGAACCGAAAATTTCTCAAATTTTCCATGGAGCTCTCCTAAAGTGGCCTGCTTTCTGGACCGTCGATTCGGCCATCGAACCGAGTTTGAAATGGAAGCTTATAAAGACCTGAAGCTCAAAGAAAAATAACGATTTGAGCATAAGAACGGTTTCCGAGTCTCGGGGGGGGGGGGGAGGAGCAAATCCGAGCTATTATTCGCCGTTTTCTTGGGGAATTGATGTTGCCGCGGGCTTCCAGTCATTCTTCACACATGTTCAGCCTATCAATACTGCTCAATTTTTTGACGTAACATTCGATTTTCATGTCAAGGATTCGATACATCGATGCGCTGTATCGATTTTTCCCGATTTTACAAGGAACAATAATTCTTTTGTTATTCAATACTGACAAATATCATTACGGGAAACCATCTATGTTTACATTTTGCAAGGAGCATTGCTGGTTTCCTGTGAAGTGGTGGGATAGGGTGTGATATTTTTCTTGTAAAGTACTCTAAAAAGTGTGTTACACCAAAAAGTTTCAAAGCCGTAGCGACATTTTAAACATTGACGTGACATTCGATTTTGGTCGTCAATTGTTCCGGTAGTATGATTAGAGATATTCCCGCAAAAAAAAACTTTTGTTGCAATTTATTCATTTTTTAAGTCTTAGAGGATGAGTTCCATAGAAAGGCACTGTAAACCGAAATTAGCGCTTGCGCTAGAGGGGCCAGAAATGGCTCCACATCTGGTGAAGATTGTACAATTATACATTTCATTAATATAATTTTTCCAGCAACCTACTGTTATATATAAAAAAAGGAAAGAAAAGAAAGAAAAAAAAGGTACCAAAACGTAATTCTTGTCTAAATTTGAGAGCGCTATGCTTAAATTTTCTTTAAAAAACCAAAAACTTACATCATGATAACCAGGCTCTTGCCTTCTTTTTGGAACCCGGATAAATGAATCGCACAACAAACCGCCATCTTCTTTCTTGAAATTCCTCACCACATCATAAATTTGTTGAAGATAATCTACCTATAAAAAGGAAGAGTAAATATTTTAATATGCTAGTCTTTTCATAATATTTGGTAGGGTTTAATGAAAATGCATCCAAAACAAAGTAAAAAGTAGAGAAACGAACCATTCACTGATGGTTAAAGACAGCTAAATCCTACGATATTATGGAAATGCTGATAACATCTGATTTCGGATTTGATAGTTTTTATCCCTCCCTCTGTCTTACATGCAAACTCATTTTATACGATAATTTACTTGGTAATTCGCACCTTATGTATATCATTATATCACAGCTGATCGCGTGCACGAAATCGAGTTCAAAAATTCCCATCTCGCGCGAGCCCACCAACCACTTGCAGCGGCAGCCTCCCTCCCCACCGGCGGCTGGGCGATGCGCAGTGTCCCCGCCCTACTACTTGCCTGACCACGGGCACCCCGTATCGCGCAGCTCTCATTGGCTGCTGAAACACTACGCGGCCGCGACCAGGGGCCGAATTTTGTCGGCCCTTCCACCGTACTTAAATATCATAGAGTACACTCAGAGAGAGATACTTAGGACGGGTCTCAATTGCACTTATATCTGGCTTAGTGCTTCTGATTGGCCGGTGGTGCAGTTTGAACTCATCGATGGATGTTGCACTCCGTGTGAAAAAGCCGACAAAATTCGGCCACAGTTGTTCCTTTCAATGCGGCTCCCCTTGCATACGCTCCAAAAATTTCTGGAATTTTCCTGGGCTGATGGAGGGTGTCACATGTCACATGGCGATGAATAGTAAGTATTTCTGGAACTTTCTAGAACTACCTCGAATTTACTTCATTCAAGTGAGAATAAGTGAGAGGAGACCCTCATTACTCCTCTCTGGAACTTCCTAGAATTTGCTTGGACGCTCGTTTTTCTGGAATTTTCCGGACTCGCTCAAATTTACTCCAGGTGATGCGCAACTAAATTAATTGAGGTTCTCACCGCGTCCTTTCCGAAACTTGGTAGAATTTCCTTAGACTTTAGGGAGTGTCTTAAGACGACAGGTGGCAATGTGTTTCTGGAACTTTCTCGAATGTGATCAAATTGGTAGTGAGAGGAACGTAGCTCGCGAAGAGGGGGCAAAGCCCTGAATGGCTGGTACAGCTTTGGTGTTCACAAAATTTCACTTGTCCGAAAGGTAAGGGTACAATTCGAGAAGAATCAGATATTTGAATGCCTACAGCACCCCACAACCAATTTTGGGATTTACTTTGTCCATCGAACCAAACCAATTTTTTTCCATTCCTAGGTGATATAGAAGTCCGAAAATGCCCATAATAACTTCAGGAAAATTGTCCGGTGCTCAAGGCGCCGCAATTTTGGATTTTTCAAATTTGAGAAAACCCACCATCAGTTTCTTGGAAATATCTCAACGGTTAACCTGACGGAAAAAAACCCCAGCAGAAAGAGCATAAACGGGGTACGTGCCAAACGGGCCATTTGGGGCTCCACTGGAGAAAACCAGTGGCACCATCGTGTTTTTCGCGAACTTTTACATAAAAACCAGTAGTCAAATCGCAAATTCCTCACACATGCAACATATCCATTTTCGGCGGTTTCCGAGAAGAAAATAGTGGACAGGTGTGTAGATAGAACACCCGGTATAAAAGGTGCTTGATACCAGAGTGAATTTCTTTGAAGTACCAGCAGTAATACATTTGCATGAGTAACTTACCGACTCTCCCCGCCGTCTTTTGCGCACAGGGATACTTTCAGGTGTCAGGGAGTCTGATTCATTTGTATCATCATCTTGACCAGTGCTTGCTACTGATGATTTGCGACGGCGTTTATACATTATTTTGGAGGTAGGTTTGACCTGAGGATTATAAATAACAAAGAGGAATTAGTCCAATCGCTTAACTTGGCTACAGTAAAAATCTTTCATTGGATTCTTAAAATTCTGAAGAACTTCGACAAGAAGGCGGAAAAATGGCGGGAACTTGGTACGCGCGCTGAAGGATTCCATTGACGTATAATACAATCTATAGGCCTAGTCAGCGGTCTAGATTGTGTTATAAGTCAATAAAGGATTCACATGAGACTCGGCCGCCATTTTGAAAGTAATTAGCATTACACAAATTTAGTGCGAGGGAGTCATCTTTTTCGAGCCAGAAACCATTGAGGCACCGAGTTTCATGCGACTCCGTCACTGAACGTCCGTATTACCAAGTTCCCGCCACTTTTCCGCCGCATTGTTGAAGCTTTTCAGAATTTCAAGAATCCAATAAAATCTTCGTCCCTCTCGTGCCGAAGCACCTTCAGATACCAAGTTTCATGCAAATCCACCGATAAGCAACTTAAATAGGTATCCACTTCTCGCTCTAGGACGCCATAATGAAATGAGCTGAATTTCCCGGAAAACTATTAATAGAATCGTTATTCTCCTCCGAAAAACCCCCTGTACACCGAGTTTCATCTCAATCCGTCAATACAAACGGATATGCCAAATTTCCGTTATTTTGAACTCTGACCGGCCGCCATTTTAGGGTAAACCAACATTTTGACATGCGGTTTACACCCTAATTTTTCTTTTTTTGTGTCCTTTGAGAGCGTGATCACCAAAGGAGGGTTGTCACGCACAAAAAGAAATTTACCCCCACTCCCCGTAAATTTAGGGGGACCAAAAATATGCTGCTACAGACCTAGGAACATCCCCTAAGTTGCAAATTTCTGTGTCAATTAAGAAAAAAGTTACAAGGGTGGTAGATCCCTTTTGGATAACCCTGTCTATGGCTTTACGTGCCATTATGTTTGGTACTGTATTTTGTGTACTGCCGGCTTATTCACATGACCCAGTCACAAGAGCCTCTTCATTCACCGCTTCTATCCGCCACCACACGATCATCAGCAGGCTAATTATTGAAATTCATAGACATAGCGATAGACAAAGCAGTAGAGCAAGACTGGCGCGGCGCTCCGCTTCGCTCCCCCTCCCCCACTCCTAGAAAGCGCGCCTATTTTCAGTGTTTTAAACGCATCTGGTTGTTTCCGCGCGCATCCACCGCGGAGAGCGAGTGTACTTCCCGAAGTGTGGTATTCATAGAATCGCACGTTCGTAAACCATGGTATAATGAATAGTTTTTCAAAAACCTTCCTTCCCCTGACCCACAGTGCGGCGTGCAATTTTACCAAAATCTTCTTTCTCCTGACCCACTATGCGACGAAATGCTTGTCCAGAACCTTCATCCTTCCGACCCACTGTGCGACGAAGAGCTTAAAACTTCCTCCCCCGACCCGCTGTGCAACAAAAAGCCTGTTAGAACACTTCCTACCCCTGACCCACTTTGCGACCGTCCTTTCGTCCGTCCGCCATGAAAGTTCATGAGCTCGCTATCCTGAAACAGCCAGGCTGACATCACTCAAATTTATTATCAAACCATTCCTAGGAGAGATCTACCACCCATAATAATTTCAGCTCAAAATACTCAATTTGACTCGAGTTATGGAGTGGACAAGAATGGACCCCCCCCCCCCCCNTATCAAACTCCACCCCTCAAAATCTAATGCCTCTTTCAACTTTTTATTTCGCAGAATAGTAGTTCTGATGGGGCTCCACAAAATGCTAGAAATTTGAACAAAGTTTCTTGCAATTTAAGAAAAATATCAGGCGCTACCTACTCAGAAATCCGAAAATCTTGAAAAGACGGAAATACATACATACGCACATAAGGACATGCGTACATACCATACGTCCACACATACTTTGATAAGTATACACACACACTTTTTTAATCTCTGCTCTAGGCGTCAATGACTAAGTTTTGTTAAAACAGTTATAAATAAATGTAGAAAACAACAGCATGTATGTGTGTACGTACACTCATTCATACATGTATAACATACAAAATGTTTAGAACAAACCATACACACACATCCTACTTACCAACAACTAAGATACAAAAGAGCCTTGCACAAAAAGGGCTAAAATTCGCCCGTTTTCGGGCCCTCGAAATTGGGGTCGGTGTGAGGTATTTTTTCATCTATAGGGTGACCCTTTACACATAATAAAATTTCAGATTGAGTATATGCACCGTTTTTGAGATATGGGGGGGCAAAGTCCCCGATTTTTACTCATATTTGCAGGTATTTTATAGTCGAACTTCGGCTGCTACAAGGTACCGGATGTAGATATTGAAGCGCGGTTTGCGGTGATTTGTCAAGCTATTTCTGGATTATTTTTTCACA